GTGTTGGAGCCACCATGGCTGCAACAACTGGGGGTTTGGTTGGTTGGTTGGTTGGTTAGATAAGTGGTGGGAGTTTTGTGGGTGAGTGAGTGAGTGGACGGACCGACGCGGACTTTGCCTCTTTATCCCGTTGATACTAAACTTCTTGTGTACCGTTGGACGACCAACAATCCATGTAATCTCTCCAGATCTAGAGATTATGTTTTATCCAGGAGCGGATCACGCGTGGGATGAAAATGGCGAATAAAAGAGTTTAGAGGTGCCTTTTTTTTCTTTCTTTCTTCCTTCTATTTCTCCCCCCCCCCCTTCCAGGTTCCCTTTTATTGTCTCCCCCGCCGCCCCCACCCCTCACTTTGTAAAAAATCCTGTGGGTTTGTCAGGTGGTGCTTGACGTAGATGGCTCAACTTCTGCAGTCTCTTGTTTCTGTCTGCCTCGTTTTTCCTTGATCACTTCATCATGTTTAATGAATAGAAAACAATGATCTTACTGATCTTGCTGTAAATGCCTATTTCTATTTCTTTGACATGACGTAACCTACCCCTTACAATCTTTCCCCCGCCAGTTCCAGTTATAAATTGTACAGGTTTTTAAACTTGCATCGTTGCGTAGAGTCATAACGAGGCTATGATAAGTTCCCATTTCTGTGAACAAACCACGGCGAATATACTTTGTAGGGCCATATTCTGTTTGAAGTAGAGTTTGAAGTGGATTGTATTGTAATGATCTAAGAATATAGTTATATATATTGATGGTGCTGACAAGACCACAACCTCACTTGAACGTGTCTGACGTTGTTTCCCAGTTTTGTACCCATTTTAAGACCCAACTTAAGTGCTCTCATACAATGATACGCCATTGTTTGCCAATGAGACACTCACTACAGTGTACATAATTTGTAGTAGTACTACCGTGTGGGGCTTTTCTGCACCGGGACAACTCAGCGGCCGGTCCTCTCTAGTCTCTAGATATTAGAAAAAGGCTTGGCGAAGCGCACACCTGCTGACAGATAGCGCTCCTAACTATGCGCTTTGTTTTGGCGTCCACGGTCTTCCCTCGAGTTGGATTACGCTGTAAAAATGTTTGCATTCCATCACACCCCCTCAGCGGAGAGTATTGTGGGGCTCTTGTCTTTGCTATAGCCTAATTGAACGCTCCTTAGTCTCCCCCAAAGCGTTTATTATGGCGCAATGCACGTGTTCTTTTCTCAGATGTCCTCTTTTAGCGTGTGGATTATTATTGTCCGCTTCGCGTGATAGTAAAGTCATTACACATAAATGAGGTTATTCTATTTTAAAGATGTTAAAAACTAACACTAAACCATAATAATTGTTAGGGGAATAACAGGAATAAAAGAAGTTTTTGAAAACCGTGACGGTCCTTATCTGTTTCTATGTAAGAACATTTGCATTTCAATGGAATGAAACATGGAAACAGGAAACGCTACTGTTTGGTTTTTCTTTCACAGAAGGCGAAATAATGTTTCGGTGAAGACAATGCGTTTCCGGTTAATCGAATTCATAAAGAAGAGGGATTCTGAGTTTCGTAGCCTGTGGATGTTATTTTTAAGGAGAATAGGAAGGGGCAGTGAGCTGCTCTTTTGAAATTCGCGTCGTATAATTTATTTGTGTCCCATCGTGATCATATCATTTACCTGCGAAATGGACTGTACCAACTGTTACACTCGGAAGCGTATGGGTACGCAGAGCGAAACGAAAGCTTAACCAAACCCCGCACTCTCTCTCTCTCTCTCTCTCTCTCTCTCTTTTCTCTCTCTTTTCTCTCTCTTTTCTCTCCCTATCTCTCTCTCTCGCCCTGCCCCTTTTCTCCCCCCTCTCCCCTCTCCCCAAGGCTCGCGGTCTTGACGGTCTGTCGGCGCGCAGCTGCGCTCAGATTGTGGGAATGCTTTACTCGAGCCAGACTGACTGGCGCCACTGCTCGGCGGGCGAGACGGGACTTTGCCAAAAGCCCGACAGAACAGGTGTTCAGGGGCCCCTCCACCACCCCTCCCCTCCTGGTCCCGTTTCTCCACTCTCCCCTTTCACGTTCCGATTCTCTCCCCCCTTCCCCCTTTCTGCTACGTATCTCTCACCTCATCTAAACCTGTACTGCTGTCCTCCCCCCCCCTTCCACCCTCTAAAAATCCCGTGTTTGAACTGAAGTAGGAAGGTCTGCCCACCCGCCCCCACCCACCCACGATGGTCTCCTTCCTCTGTGCTGTCCACACAAACGCGGAAGTCAAAACGTTCCTTTCAAGCCGTGTGTCATTCACCGTCGGGCGATTCTTTTCTTTGATTTTTTTTTTCAAAAAGGTTTTGTTTAGGTAGATAATATTTTTCACTTGATCGCGAATCAGCTGTTCGGTGCACGTTTAAAGAAAAAAAAATATTCCATTCAACTGCAAAGAGACTCACTCAACTAAAACGGTGCATTATGAAAAGGTCTACTCCCACTCACGCCTCAAGTGGCATAATTTTTGTGTTGAATGTAGATTTATTTAATTACCGCTTTTGTAAAATTACGACCAAGCGCACTGTCCTTAATTGATGTGACTTTTAATTGATTCGATATCTATTAGCTGCGGAGATTGCCTTGCAAGTGCCCATTTCCTTGAACAAAATAATTTTAGCGTAGTGATAAGAAATGGCCCCCGCTCCTGTTTGCTTTTTTTTAAAGCATTTGTATTTGAACAGGGTGCCGGATCTGAATTTTCACACGTTTTTAGATTTCGCCATTGCAGGTGGGATGGTCTTTATTACTAGTTGTTGTTTAAGCTCCCAGCTCGCCTGGGCTATTTACTATGGGCAATTTTCAATGGTGGAAAGAATTTTTACACCGGTGTAGAAAAATAAAGGCGTATTTTTATAACGTTCCGTTTGTCTCCCTGGTGGATTGGTGTAGTATGGGGTAGCGTTTCGTCATTTTAGGCGCTCACGGCTAGAATAACATTTTTATCATAGCTAGCAACGAGACCTCCAGGTTATATTGCCTCTATGGGCCTTCTGAGCCTGGGAAATAAACAGGAGGGGTGGGGGGCTCATGACTGGTTTCTAGTCCTATTTCTGTCCGTTGGTTAAGTGCTTCTGTTATTTGTAGACATAATTTTATGGGGAAGAGGGTGTTTGGTTTGTTGTTTTTTGTGTTTGTTGTTGTTTGTATTTTATTGGGGGTTTTTGT